AAAGGAAGGAAGGAAGGCAGGAGGGCAGGAAGACAGGGCGACAGCAAGGCAGGAAGATGATATTGAGAGGAGGGAGCTGCTCTGCACCGAAATCATATTAGGGAATTCTCGGGAGACCGACGAGAACGAAGGTCTCTGAATACCAAACTCTTCTGAACTGCTCGAGGAAAAACTCGCCCTTTAGGAAACTTCACCCCAACTCCTTCATCGAGTCTCATTTTCACCCCAATCCCATTCTATTTGTCATTCTATTAGATTTTATCTGCTTCGATGACCTTTACGGAGTTCAGGATGGGTGGCGTGGAGGGAATGTTATATCTCAAGTGATAACTCCGTTAGAGAAGGAGACTGATCCCGCTGACAGTGCTGCAAAAACACGATCCCGTCGATACAGAGAAAAGATTGGAATTAATGTTCGACCTCATCGTACTCGAAGGCCCGTTGAAGGGAGTTTTTCTTTCTTTCTTCTACGGACTAGAGGTTAGAGAGGAAGGGCTTTCTCATGCACAGGTCGTTAAGGGCGAGGATCGATGAACAGAGCCAAGCCTTGATCTCTCGATCCATCTTCATTCGATATCAACATACCCTCTTCTCTCCTCTTTCTACGTCGATTTCCCTGACCGGAGAGACGCGGGAAGACGAAATACGTCGCACGCGGAAAGAGCCCTATTCTGAAATTCGAGACAGGCTTTCTCCTCGAGTGCGAACGAGCCGGAAGATGAGGATGAGCTGGAGATGTAATTATGGAAATAGACCTCTTTCACCCAGGGCAGCTGGAGTGCGAAGGAATGGACAGTGGAGAGGGGATGGAAAGGAATGAGTTTTCTTTTGATCATGGGGATGTCGGAGTTGTCTGCATGCTGTCGACGTCAACACGGACGCCCTTAAATCTCATCGAGTTCGCTCGGCTCTGAAATCGGGTTATGCACGGTCGTTAGCAAACTGATGGTACGAAAGGGAATGAGTGAAATGGTCGGTATCTTCCCACAATCCATCTGCCCGATGTTAAATTATGAAGGGGAGCGGGATGGGGGGGGGAATTGGCAGCTCTCTTCTCTCTTTGCCTTATATTTGGACTTTATATCATCAAATGTTTCCAAACGGAACTCTTTGTTTTCCCCATTCAGTTCTTAACACAACGCCCCGTAGTTTCTGAGAAGTTTCACAACAGCCGGCAACCCCAAAAAATAACTTAGCTATGATTGCCTGCTGCCCTCGAGCGTTTTGAAATGAAACTCGAATTTTCCCGGATTTCGTAACAGACCTATTTAAATGCCGAATTCCGTCACGTGGCTCCATCCAGATGAATCCTGGGCTTACTTTTCTCTTCCGCTCAGACGAAGCGTAGAAAGAACCAGTACAAATGAATATTGCCTTCCGCATGATGTACTACAAAATGAGCGTGCAAAAATGCATTAAAGAAAACAATATCAGCCGGCATCTCCGGAGCTTAAAGTTAATGCGCTCTCGTTATCCTAGTCCCTTGGCATATGAACGGAGTGTCTCTCGACCGCATTTCCTTCCCCCCGTACTTGATGGCATATTGGAGATGAAAGGCGATATCCGAAGAAAGCCGAGACGCCTCAGAAAGGAAGGAGCATTTGTGTGTGTGTTTTCGGGGTCAGCTTCTCGGAAGGAGGCAAAGGAGAGATGACCCGATCTATTCTCTTCATTTCGGCTCCAGACAATATTGCGCCTTCATGAGGGAACAATGGATGGAATGGAAGAAATACAAGAAAAGAAGAGGAATAGAAAGGGGGAAAAAAAGGGCGAAAGGGAGAGAATATTGCCTCTATTTCCCCCTCTCTTTCCATCTAGTGTTTCTTCTCTTCTGTTTTCTCTCTCTCTCTCTCTCTCTGTACCCTGAGATCTTCTTTCCTCTCGTCTTCATGAATCCACTTAGGATCAGTGTCTCTTCATCTTTTTCTTCCCTTCCCCTATCTATCCTTGGGAGCCCCTTCCCTTTTCGTATTTCTGTTCACAAGGGACGAAGCTGATTATTGATCTGCACCTCCCGGTCAGCTCGGACGGGACGGGTCGGGACGGGTCGGGTCGGGGCAGATTTTGACGAAGGCCGTGCGCTGACAGTGACTTGGGGGGAGGCGAATGGGTCGATATGAATTTTCTTTTTCAATTTTGTCGACAGGTTTCTTGCGGGTGATCTTTCTCACGAGGGATAGCAGCAAATTTGTAGACATTTTTTATTATCCCGAAGGGCGATCAAAGGAAGCAAACAGGAGAATCCGGATACAAGTGAAGCAAGAGAAAGGGGAAACGAAATGAAAATACTCCAGCTGTCTGTTTCCTTATCTGCCCAAGGTCATGACGGCAGGTTTCCCGAGCTTGGGAGAGAATAAGCCCGTTTCCTCCGAAAATGCCGCTCTGACCCTGGAGACAGCAAGAGAGGAACGGTAATAGGAAGGCCTGGCGGGTGGGCTTTTAGTGGAAGAGACAGATTTCATTTCTACTTGGTTTTCTCCTTGCACGCGGCTTCATTTCGGGTCCAATCACGTCGTCTTCAAACCCACTTTATGCGATGAAGACTGTCTCTGATGGTGAAAGATGAATGAAGTCAAGAGTGAATATTTCAGGCGGGTCGTGGAAGTTCTTACAGCTGTGCAACCGGTTGCCATCGGGTGCATGCGACCGGTTGCCATCGGGTGCATGCAACCTCCCAAGGGATGGGTGACGAGGCGGTCCATGAGTTTCGTGTCTGATCGATACTGCAGGAAGAGAATGTGGAGGGTTATACGCATATATGCGGCTGCGGGATGACACATGTGGGGGGGGCCCAGATCCTTCATTATCCCTCTCATATATCTGGAGGAGTATCGAGAACCCTGTCACTTCTCCACTCCGCTCCTCTTCGCCGTGGCGCACGCGATCTGGGAAAAAAAATTCCGGTTGCGTGACTCGCCCTCCCTTGTCGTACCCTTTCGGCTCTACCGGCGCGAGAGATAGGCGGAAGCCAGAATTTTTTCTCGACGTCATCTGGCGATCTTCGCACCTGTTGCAGGATACGGCCATTCCACGCCCTATACCGTGGGAGGGAAGATCTTCACGATGATCTACGCCACGATCGGAATCCCTCTGGGGCTCGTCATGTTCCAGAGCATCGGTGAACGCCTCAACAAATTCTCTTCCATCATCATCAAACAGGTCGGTCCCTCGTGAATCTCCCCTTCCCTCCGTTCTATCTATTCAAGTCTAAAGCTAATATCGGTCCCCGGCATTGATGGATGGCCCGAATTGACCGTGTTTATCACTGGTTACCGAGGATCGAACAGAAAAGGGACACTCGAGGCGGGGACGAAGGGTGTGGAAGGGGCTTGAAAAGGCTTGAAATGGCTCGAAGAGGCTTGAAAAGGCTCGAAATGGCTCGAAGAGGCCTCGTAGGAAGTGAGATGTCGTGTAGTTGTGCGAGACTGGAGGCAAGACTGGGATGTGGATGCACCAGGGAGATATATCAGGGATAATACGAGAGGGCCTGGGTTCATCCATCATATTCTAATGGTTCCTGGGCTCCATAAACCCGAGTCCATAGCCCAAATCCATGCAGCTTCTTCCATCCAGATTCCTTTCTGACACACGACACACAAGATTCATGAATATTCATGCCGGAACACAATAACGAGGCATTGTCTCGTCTTGTACTCTGAGAGCTCTCGTTCCTCTTTCATCCATCTTTTACGAAAGGAAATGCAATCGTGTTCCACATTTGCGCCGAGGATGAAGAATCGTTTGGATTTCGTGTTGCAGGTGAAGAAACTTCTCAAGTGCGAGCGCGTGGAAGCCACGGAGGTGAACCTGATCTGCGTCGTCACGACGTTATCGACGGTCATCATCACGTCCGGTGCGGCCGTGTTCTCCCATTACGAGGACTGGACCTATTTCGAATCCACGTATTATTGCTTCATCACGCTGACCACGATCGGGTTCGGGGACTACGTGGCCCTGCAGAACGGAGACTTGAATTCGAACCCGCGTTACGTCGTCTTCTCCCTCATCTTCATCCTGTTCGGCCTCACGGTCGTCGCCGCCAGCGTGAACCTCCTCGTCCTCAGGTTCGTGACGATGAACACGGAGGACGAGAGGAAGGACGAGCTGGAGGCGATGCGAACCGCGCAGGGGGCGGTGCGATTGGAGGGGGATGTCATCACGACCAACGGATCCATCATCAGTGGGCATTTGCCGCGCGAAGCCGCTAGTCTTTCGGATGTCGCGAGTGTGTGCAGCTGTAAGTACTGCGACTGCTGGTCCCGGCTCCTGCGCCGGACTAAGGCGGGTCGGGCGAGGGCCCGAGCCCGGTCTCGAGCGCGGCTACACACGCACTCCTTGAACGTGGTGAGCGGCAGCCGGAACGGCAGCGGCCGGGACCGGACAACAGTGACCGTCTCCAAGCCGTTTCTCGTCCCCATGCAGACATTCCGGATGGCCGGTTCCTCGGCGCAGGATCCAGACGTGGACAACGTGTCCAGTTTCGAGGAGGACTACTGCGCGCAGAGGTATCGAGATGAGGCTGGGGATTCCCTCTCGGAGGACAGAGCTTCCGTCTGATTTCTTCGTTTCGATCCGTGTCGATTCCGGTTGTCGACGACCGCGATCTCGTCTTCCCCGTCCCTTTCGCAACCGATTTCCCTCTATCGATGTTCTGCCGACCAAAATAATCAAGTCAGCTTGCATTTTTGCTCGACTTCACCACGACTCCGGTTCAGAAAGGGGGGAAATTCGCCCCCTTCCCCCAATCTGATTCTGCAGGCTACGGGGAACTCTTCCACCTGAGAGAGCCTGGCGACATTTTTCTTCCCTCTGAATTGATGATGATGGAAGAGAATTTGTTGAGGCGTTCACCGATGCTCTGGAACATGACGAGCCCCAGAGGGATTCCGATCGTGGCGTAGATCATCGTGAAGATCTTCCCTCCC